CGTTAGCGCGAGGAGGATCGAGGATTCCTTTAACCGGTACCGGCGTACTAGTACTCAAAATGGGCCTCGTCTTCGAAGCGGTTCCCTTCGAAGCACTCTCAATCCCGACTCCTTCCCACGAGTGCAATAAGCGTAACGCGATTACTGTTTTCAGTTCTCAATTTCGCATGGGCGAAAGGATTAAGAAGACACAACGGACGCACGAGGCAACCTGATTTTTCCAATTAGAGTAATTAAAGGAATGCTTGCATGACCACAGGCACCGTCAGCCATTATCAGAGGTGCGGTCAATTGCTATCACAAGCACCGTCAATTGTTATCAGAGGTTCCGTCAATTGCTATCGTAGGCACCGTTTTTAACCCCTTCTCTAAGAGCCCTGTTATGATAGCGGACCCCTCTGTAATGGGTTCGGGCGACTTCGTCGTTGTTTAGGGTACAAGGATGTAATTGTCGCCTGCGATAAACACTTGTTAGCGTTGTTTTCGTAAGAGCGCAGCGGCAACGGTTGCGATTGCAAGCGGCAAAACCTCTTGTCTACTCGGATCAGGTTTCCATCAGAGACCCGGTCTTCCTCCGGTGGTCCGATTGGTAACTTCATCGGTTACGGTTCGCTGCGACTTAAGAAAGAAAAAAGGAGCGTTAACTCCAGTTTCCTTCCCTTTTTACTTTCATACGAGCGAAAAAAACATAAACTCCGATTCCCACTTTTAGCAAAAACATGAGGAATATTCAGCAAAAAGACATGTGGAATTAGCGCTCGAATCCAAGCTGACCCTCTTGAGTTCCATCCATCGCCTCCAGGGTTCCCCTCGGAATCCTGGAGCTCTGAACCACTCGGAGAAAATCCGTTGCCGTTACCATTACCGTTAGAAGCCGTTACCGGCGGTTCTACTTGATTTTTATATTTCCCATTTTGTGTCTCGTGATTTGGCTTCGACTTAATTTGAAATATCCAATTGAAAATTGCAACTCGAAATGCATTTTAGCTTGCAGTTTTCATAGTTAGAATATCCTCGGAGAGGGAACTTCTCATCCCGACATAATAAAAATAATATTTATTGTTATTATCATATTCCTTGCCGTTGAGACAGTCAAGACTGGCATTTATGACTGTTGATGTTGAAAAAAAAGGGAGGCGCGCATCTTCAAAATTGCATTTACTGCTTGCTATGCCGCGGACGTGCCTGTAAAAAATCTAAACTAATCCTAAAAATCTAAAATAATTACCACGACTAATATAAATCCTTAAACTATTTCTCTGGCACAAACCGAGAGCGATTTTCTCCTTCAAAAACACGAATTTAAGCGATAAGAGAAATCGCAACGGGAAACCAACCTGACCGGCGTTCGTGAATCAGGCTTCAAAGGGCTTTCTTAGCGTTTTCTTGGAACTTTCTCGGGGTTTTCTTAGGACTTTCTTGGAGCTTTCTTACGGCTTTCTTGGAGCTTTCTTACGGCTTTCTTGGAGCTTTCTTACGGCTTTCTTGGAGCTTTCTTACGGCTTTCTTGGAGCTTTCTTTTGGCTTTCTTCCCGCACAATCGCACTCACTCGCTCCTTCGTCCCAACTGCCTCCATCGCAGATCCCGAGGGAGGGGAGAGGGTGCGAACTCGTTAATCGACATGCGTTCGTGTCCCATATCTCGCGTGTCCCATATTTCACGGGACCCTCGCGTACCTCGTGACACGTCCCGGCTGCATTAACACGGTCCTCCACGGGCGGCGCATGGAGGCATCATCCATGGAGGCGTCATCCATGGAGGACTAGGGCATCTGGGATGCTGCCAGGATGCTGCCCTCTTCCGAGGCTTTTTCCCGGTCCATTTCCCTTTTCGCGCCGAGCCAAGCTTCTTTTTGCAGGAGACAGTTCATCCCCCTTTTGGCCACTTTTGGCCGCGTTTTTTTTCTTTTTGGCCCCCCGCCAACGATGGCCATACAGAAGATGGCCATATCCGAAGCTCACGAGTTTCCTCTGCTCCCGATTCGTCTCCGGGCATCGATTCCCCTCAGCAAACATACCCTAAATACACCCGACCGTGGCTATTTTTTCCCTTGTGGCTATTTACTCCCCTGTGGCTATTTATTCCGACGAACTGCAGATGGGGCAATGCCATGCGATATCATTTTACACACATTCGATGACAAGAGAAGGCTTGATGACTTCCGCAGGGGTCCGATTTTTTCATTTATTTATTTATTTTACGCTCGTATTTTATCATTATCACTTTTTGTGAAGGAAGCCAGTCGCATTTCCCGATGAACGGTTTCGTTCCAACAGCGCATTGTTAAAACTAATGAATAAATTGCGAATAATTAGTTCATCGTGGCAGTCGGAGAAGCATTGCCCCGAGTCAATTACAAAGACGCAAAACCATAAAGCGTATCCTTGAGCATCGGAAAAACGACACGAGCAAATTTCTTCAAAAACCTTCATGCAAAACTTTCAAGATTCGCGAAGATTCGCAGTCCGTCCACCTTGCACGAGGCCGAGCGACTTCTGTCGTCATTTAAAGGACTCTCATCAGAAGTCTCTCGTGGAGACCGATTCCTGTTTTTTTTTTTCTCCAGAAACGAGAATTTGACATTTTAATAGGAAAGCGATCATTTCGTGCTGCTTTCGCAGTTTCCACGGAAACGGGCGCGTTTCGAGCTCGGGCGTTTTCCGCGGACTATCTGATCATCACGAGCGCTTCTCCCTTATGTGGGATTCAATCAACGTCGATTTTCGCGGCTCCGAGATCATCATCATCATTCGGATCATCGATCCGAACATGCAAATGCCCGGTAATGCCAGAGCGTCGTTAGCGTCAGGTTATTGACGCGGTTATTGGCGAACAGGCCTTCGTAAGTTGCGCCGAAAATGCTTCCAGAACTTCGTGCATAAAGAAAGTTCTAAATTGACTTAATTCTGCGAGAAAAAAAAGAGAAATAGTGATTATGCCCGTCCGAAACAGATCGCAGTACCAATCCCCAGCATACTGTGACAGTAAATTTTTTAAACTTCGTGCATAAAGAAAGTTCTAAATTGACTTAATTCTGCGAGAAAAAAAAAAGAGAAATAGTGATTATGCCCGTCCGAAACAGATCGCAGTACCAATCCCCAGCATACTGTGACAGTAAATTTTTTATTAATTAGAATAATCTGCAATATTGCGACCTGTTTGGTGTGCTTCTAGTGATAATGAACGCCCCCCAACGCTTTTGACACCTGACCCGAAGAATACCCGATGCGAGTGTCATTGTGTTGGTCTGATTTCTTTAAGAAAAGACACTTTGTGGTGCTTTTGCATTCCTCACAAAGGTAGTCTCATGCAAAATTTGATTTTGTGAACAGGTATTACAGGTCCGCGTCAATGAGTCGGATAACCTGCTAATGAGCATATTTGCAGGCGAAATTTAAAGGGGAAATTTCGGTCATGCAGACTCATGGGACTATCCATCGCTGCTCCGATAAATATAAGTAATTTAAATAATTTTGCATGCGATAATTGAGTCCCCGGTAAATGCACGGAATGAACCCCGGAGGAGGAATCCGACTCACCAGAGCCCAATCCCCAAGAGATGAATCAGACGGGAAGGTCGCGTCGATCTCCCGAGCAAGGCCAGGGCTAACTGGCAAGGCCGCGCGAGGGGGATCTCCCCAACAACAGCTGATCTCCACGTGGAGGAGGCGCCTTCCGATTGGTCGGGCGGGGAGGCATAGCGCGCCCTGATTGGCCGGCGCGCAGCTCGATATCAATCTCGAGCCGATCCTCCCCTCCTGTGCCACTGACCTGAGATGGATCGATCCGCTTGGGTTTTTGGGTCGCTTCCTCCATCAAGCGTTTGATGGATGCGATCTATGCATCTTTCTCCATGTCTTCAGATTTCTCTTCTTGAATGAGAGTGGTTTCTTCGGCATTCTTCTCCTCTCATCTCTCATTCGTCTGCTCAGAAGTACAAGTAATAAAAAAGTGGCAATTGAGTTCCAGATTAAAATCGGTTAGTAATGTTTCGAAGCTTCCATTTAAAAGAATCTAAATCGAAATTTAGCGCAATACTCACCCAATTTAACTCAAAAATCAGATTCCCATCCCGAAAATTTTTTTCGTTTCTTCCAGCGACCGTTCAGGACAAGAAAATTCGCCAGATACCAGGACTTCAAACGTTCGCGCCATCTATGACAGGTCTCGCAAACTACGCAATGACAGACAGTTTGCATAGATGTCGGTCATTTCAGAATATTCTTGAGGGGCGAAGAAAACGATTAGAAGAAAATCGTGCGCTGCGCGCAGATGGCAAAATGTTTGTTCGCATGCAAGCCTGGCAAACTGCTTTCGGCTGAAGAGTTTTCGAGTGCAAACGGAAACAACTTTTTTTTTCACTCGTTCCAAAACTCCTTAGACACGGGAAATTTATCATCCGTCTTACTTTCTCAAGCTGTCCATTAATCCAATGGAAATTTACAAAAAAAAAAACATGGAATGTATTATTGTCCATAAGAATGGACATGGAGTAATATAACCTGAATATCTTCAAGCTCGAGACCAGGTCGGCGGGTGTTGAATGGCATCCGCCTCGCGCCTGGATGGCATCCGCCTCGCGCCTGGATGGCATCCGCCTCGCGCCTGGATGGCATCCGCCTCGCGCCTGGATGGCATCCGCCTCCCGCCTGGAAAGTGCTTTTCACGGATATTTTATTATCTGGTCCAGCTTCACAAAATATTATGCGAGAATATCGATTTATTTTCCTGGGAGACAAAGAGGAAAAAAATAAACACACATAAATTGATATGATGAAACATAAGATATACAGAATAATATAATAGATAAAAGAATGAAGAATATACACTTGAGCAAATATCACATTGAAAATCAAATAACAAACTAAAAAATGAACAAAATTCAAACAATCAAAGAGGCGAGGTTGATATAATGAAAGGAAAAAAGTCAGGATCTTCCCGAACCGATCCCAACAACCCACGCACAATTGACAGCCGACAGCCGACACTCAATTGACAGTCAATTCTGCTTCGAAGCGCTCGCCGGCGCCATCGCCCTGTAAACCAGAAAGCCAACCGCGGCCGCGGCCCCGACCGCGACCGCGGTCTTGACCCCGTCGTCCACCTGCTTGCTGTACGGCCTGCCCTCCGTGCATTCCCGGGCGAAGTGCTCACAGTTGTTCGACAACAGGTCGTACGGGCCTGAATGAGGGAACGCGAAAACAAATCCATGTAAATGTAAATGTGTGGTTGAATTTAAATTCAAATTCTTTCATGGTTAAAAAAAATTAATATATGAAATTTAATTCACGAAGTTGAAAAATGCCGTCCCGGAGTGACTGCCGTGACCAATGACCTGTTTGGCCAATGAACTGCCTGAACCAACTCACACTCTTTCTCTCGGTTCCGATACTTCCGCTCCGCCTCTCGCACCGCCTGCTCGCGCGGCACGCACGGCGGCGTCGCGACGAACGTCTCGCCCTCCTCCAGCGGCCGCTTCACGATGCACTCCCTCGGGGTGTAGACGGAGGACCCGCTCCCGCCGCTGCTGAACCCCCGCGACATCCCCCAGCCGGGGTTGACCCGCTCGATGACGTGGGGCCTCCCCGGCCCGGGCACGAGCACGCCCTCGTGGTTGTAGAACGGGGTGCTGAACGTGAGTCTGTCGCCGAAGCGAGCCATGCTTGAAGCACGCGCGAGCGAATGAAATAACTTCCGGATGCGGTCGGTCCCTCGTCAAAACAAAGAAAACTTTAAAGAACTATTTCACCCGATTGCAACATGCACGATAACGTCAGGATACACTAGGAGGACGCTGAAGCGGCAACGATTCCACATACATCAGCAGTGAGTCATCGAGCGTCACCACCAGGGAAGGTAGAAAGCGACTGATAATCATTAACGGCGAGATAACGGAACGTTCCTTTATAGAATTATCGTACCTTGAGATAAATATTTTACCTTGAGAGAATTGCCGTACCGTCTCAGAACAAGCAAAATAAACATAAAATAAAAACGTTGAGAAACCGCTGCCAGTATGCGTAAATTCACTGCACAACCCACTCCCTCACTGAAGAATTGAATTTTGTAACGTACGAAATACATAACGAAATGCATAGCGAAATGTATAACGGTCATTTCACAAATCACGATTCACTTGAAGGTAACCCGAAGGTAATCAAAGGTAACTCGAAGGTGGGCAAGGAAATGGCCCTGGATAACCTGGATGATGATGATAAATTCCCTTTCGCCAGTGGGACGCATAGAAGTAAATAACTGCCAATCCCATGAATGGCCTCGTCGATGATCGACTGACGACCTTTCATCCACGACGACTTTTTCCTCGTCCTTCGGGTCCTCTCACCGGTCTTTTTCGACCCGTATACCACATCGGGGTCCAGCACTCGCTCGAGATGGGCCAACTGATTATGAATGATAATATTGATAATATTGAATGACAATATTGAATATTTTCGAGGAAGAGAGTCGCTCTCGTCAACATTCCTCTCATTTCTTGCGCAAAAAGGCAAAATCTTTTTTTCGGAAGGAGCGGCCACCATATGGTCACAGAACCCGTTCCATGTAATAGGTAAATAAAAAAGCGCCATGTTCTTCATCCTTTTGATGAATCTCTTGATGATAAAAAGAGTCGAGTTAAATTTAAGGTGGTACGGGAAGGAAAATCGATGGGTCTGAGATTCAAAATTTTATCCGTAATTCTTATGTAGGGGGTCTCACAAAACCCAGAAAGCACGTTCTTACCTCCCTATCACTTTTACTTAAGCCATAAGTCTTGTCCAAAGTTTCCGGTAGATGGCAATCGAAGAGCAATGTTTGAAGGCAGCATAGCATCCGAACCACTGGACGGATCTCCTTGAAACTTTCATCATTACAAAACCCGGAAAGTTCTCTACAACATGGAGTCAAGCTGAACGCCGAGACTCTCACGTCAAAGGTCAGGCGAATTTTTTTCTTCGAGCTATGGATTTTCGTCAATTGGTTTTTCCGCCGCCGTTTCGAGAAGAGGTTCATTTCAGAGAAAAGCATACATCAGATTTTGGGGAAAACCCATCTCCATCCCCA